CTAGGTTCTTCTAGGCTTGTAACAATCAAAATGCTGAATGACATTGGGCTTCCTGAACAATAAAGGATGCTTTTCCGTAGGGGGTTGTTGGTGATTCTCAGCCTTGGTCCTGGAAGACTCTTTTGCTTCTGTTTCTTGCTCAAGTTGAGCTCTTAATCACTAAGGTTTGTTGATCCCTTGAATTGAACCTTACTTGGTCAGTTCTTTTCAACCCCTTTTCTATGCACAGCTTTTGGAAAAATACTCTGCTGCAGGTAAGTTTTTGCCAAAACATCTAGCAGACAGAATACTGTCCATTCTCTGCTCAATCTCTTTAGGAGTCACAGTCTTAACAGTCTTATTTATGTCTAAACAACCAATTAATGACATCAAGACACAGACGGGGATGACAATTGATCAAACATTACTAATGACTTCCATTCCATATAACTGAATGAGAGATGGGGTGAAGCCTAGAAATACTAATTAACTCACCCCATCCAACTTCTTAAGAGCCTTAATAATCATCAAAAGGCCAATTAGCATCTGTAATTAAGAGATCAGTGGGAATGAAATCCAAGACACACTGAATCTGGGTTTAAGAATCGGTGATCTAGGCCCCTGACTAATCTCTGACAAGTCCAGATCTGGACTCTGAGAAAGCCTGTGAACATAGAGGACTCACTGACCTGGCCAAAAAATGTTGAGTCCATGTTATGCCTGCAAGCCTTGCTTTTGTTATCTGTGTTATGTGACCGTACTCCAAGATATTCATTTGTGCAATTACTCACACATGGACTTGCAATATAAACATATACTGTACTTCAGTAGCTTTTTTTCACGGGCATTTGCAACAGTCAGATAGGATAAATCCTGACTTCTCTTACAATAGCCAACACCAGTGTGATTCCTGACCACTCCTCTCTGGAAGAGTCATGTTCTTTTAAGAGCTTTTTTCTCTTGGCTTAACATCTCCATTCTAGGAAGCTCACAAACCTCACAGTGAGTTCTATCATATCACCAACGCCAAAGGAATATAAGGGAATATTCTGTACTCTTAATGCAGAGGGAATTCTGCTTTTCATTTACCTTCATTCTTTGGTGGGTAAAGAATAAAGCTTCTTTGCCTCGGGCGGAGCGGTGGCCCTGTGACCAAGGATCTGCGCCTGCGACTGGAAGATTGCCAGTTTAAATCCCACGGCCAGCAGAGGAATCCTTCTCCGTTTGGCCCCTGAGCAAGGCCCTTCACCCCAACTGCTCCAGGGGCGCCGTATAAATGGCTGATCCTGCGCTCTGACCCCAAGCTTCCCTCCCTGTCTGTGTGTCTCATGGAGAGCAAGCTGGGGTATGTGAAAAGACACTTTCCTAATGCAAGACATTGTATATGGCCAATAAAGTGATCTTATCTTTGAGATGTGTACAAAATCTTCTAAGAGTCTCAAGCATGTTTGGACTCCTCTTAACCATTTGAAATGACCTGACTGTTGCTTCTGGGTGATACAGGGGCCCTGGTCCTTAACGGACACCCATAAAGGAGGCTGAAGTGTCTTAACACCAAGTCAATCTAAGTCAATCTCTCTGTCCAACAGGAACAACTATGCAAAGGGGATTTTGGTAGAAATTATTTACTAACACGGGGGAAGCAAAGCGCTGGTGAATACTAGCAACATGTAGCTTCATGCCAAATTTTCCTTAGACCAAAAAAATCAGATTCAATTTAAATCATCAGATGAAGCCATCATTATTAATTCTGAGCACGCACGGAGACAGGTAAGCATGACGTATAGCTAAAATTTAATAACCGTCTACAAAGAAGTTTGTGCTCCATCTATGGGCCTAGCAACAAGACTTTTTCTCACCATACTTACTTACCATACACAACTTATAACATAAGATCAGTTACAACTCCAGCTATCTAAGAGCTAGCAACTCATCGGCCTGAAGATCACACCCAGCCAGAGTATCAGCTGTTACAGTATGGAATTGTAAATTGTAATTGGTCCTTCTGTTCTTGGTTTAATGCACATTTACGCAATAAATTAGCGTTCTCAAAACACAGAGGACCTTTCTATATAAGTCCTCAGATGCACACGGCATATAAGCTGATTGGAAATATTGTGATGATAACAGACCTCGTTACTGAATTAGAGCTAAATGACAGGGACTGCTGCTCATTGGGTTCCTAAGACCAAATTGAAGAGAAAAAAAAAACAAAAAAACTCATTCAGATTTTGTCCATCCTCCCTGGAGCAGGAATGATGACGCCAGGGCCTAAGACACCTTCATCCTCTCCTGGAGAGGAGAACCAGCTCCTGGAAGAGGCCCTCCAGCCTCCTGTGCAGTGAAGAAACTAGCCTGCAGCCGTGACCCCCTGACAGCCACCGACTCCCTCCCTTCATGCAGGAGATCTAGTCAGCTGAGGTCTCTTCATGAGCACCCTCAGTTCTTGTGTGCTGCTGACAAACAGGATTATGACTTGATAAGACAACTTGAATTAAACAAAACCTGATTATACCTCTGTGTCTCCGCTAATCACATTTTAGGAGGAACGGTGCTCCCTCATGTACTATTCTGCTCGGGCATTGCAGTGTTCATGTCTGCGCTGCAAATGCACAAATCTTCGCTCGTTTATTTTTATGGTTTCCAATTTTTTACCCCTTTCAGATAGACATAGTGTGAGGGCCGCAAGCCAGCCCCTGTCTTCTGCCGACATGCATTTTTGTGCCACTGAGGGCATGTCTGAGCACTTTTAACTACTGTCATTGAAGCCACAACGGCCCAGACTTGTTCTCTATTAATGTGCAACAGCACATAACGGTGAAGGATGACTAGGCAATTCACAGTGTTATCAATACTGGAGGCAAAGCTGCTAAAATGGATACTTATTCATTTCGTGTATTTTAAAGGACAGGAAATGCTAGTTACACGTCAGATTACTTTATCAACTTTCAGTGACGTCCTAAAAATTGTGCTGCCATTTAAACTGTTCCCACCCACCCCGCTGCTTTTGGGGTGAGCCCCGCCTCCGTGGCTCCTGATTGGCCACTCCCAGCCTGCCCCGCCCCTCGACACCCTTATCCTGCTGCCAATTGGCTGCGTGGCTCTCCAGGGTCCCCGCCTGTGGGACCCGACCACGGCGCCTGAGAGAGAGGGTCTCTCACCTCAACTTGCCCTTTCCTGACCGCGGCAGCCTCAGCGATTCCAACA